TAAAAAAAAAATATTAGAACCATTTATGCTTATCTAAGATATGTAGCAGGCTAGCAGCATTTTGGCATGAGTCCAATTGTTATTGAAAATGTTGAGATCACATATTATGGACGTTGCAGGTTTAAATCTTGCCTTAAATACTTTTGTTAGTCATTTGATTTAGACTTTATAGAATCGATTTGTATTTTATAATGCAAAAAAGGAAAAAAAAAAAAAGACTGTAATATTTATATTTATGTACTTCTCAAAAAAAAAAAATGTGATGACATGGTTGGCATAAGAAATTTATCCTCTCTTTTTTCTTTTGGGTAATTTAGCCTATTGGAAGGCTCAACTGAAAATGCAAACATTGATAAATAATAAATTAAACAAGGCAAATGAAAATGGGAGAAACTTGGCACTGATATTTTTTAAAAACATGCATGATGATAATTAGTAATTACACATCATTGAAGTGTTAAAAAAAAAAAATTAATCCTTGCACATCATTGAACGTGATAAACTAATTAAGTTGATGAGGTACCAAGCTACTTCCCTCTTTTCATGATTCTTTTTCAGTGTATTTTTATTTATTTAATTTATTTATTTTAGTGGGTTTGTGTAGGTTTGTTTGCTTTAAATTTAAAGATTCTCTTCTTTAGACAATTCCAGTACGTGTTGTTGTTGTGCAGATTTGGATCCCTCCTAATAACAGTGATACCAACGATGGATTGGATCAAGTGGTAATCGGTTTGTTTCAGTTTAAACAAGGTTTTGAGTTCGAAACCTTGTGAATGCAGCAGCTCTCGCTGGGAGACTCACCCACCATTTTCAGGTGCACGACGCGGGTCGGGTCCGAATTAGTCAGGGCGAAACCTCGGATACCGGGCGGGAAACCAAAAAAAAAATAACAGTGATTGTCGGTTTATTTTTTTTAAGTCCAATTTGTTTCTGTTGGAATTTCATTGCGGGTAATTAATTCCTTACTTGCTACCCTTTGTTTTATTACATCTATGCTTCCCTATAATGTCACTAATTTTGTCTCAAGAGGTATATCTCAATCAGTTAAAAATTTTAAATTTAAATTTTAAGTCAAATAGAAAGAAATTTAATAAGAAAAAAATTTTATCTTTTTCTTATATAGTTTTATCATTAGATGCTCCAAAAAAACAACCCCACTAATTGTTTTACCAATGATAAAAAAAATGGTAAAATTGACAAAGTACTTTAATACATCAGGGAAAATTGAACATCAATTGATTTGATACCACCTTCTAAGGAGTATAAGGGGGAGGCAAGATGGACATGAACAGGTAATAAAACTACATTTTTAAGAAGAATGGTAAACAATATTTCAATTGATATTAAGGATACTTCACCTAAAATTAACAGAAGTCTTTTCGAGTTTTTCTTTCATTTTCTCTCATTCATTCCCATATTCTCTTTTGTTTTGTTTTTTCTTTTTTTTTTAAAGAAGAATAATAGTGGGAATGGTTTCGACCATCTCCATGCAAGTCCATAATGTAAATCAATGACACTAAGACATCATTAAGGGCAAAAACCTACTTTGAGCCCTTCACCTTACTAAATTTGTAGGTTTTAACCTTTTCCTTTACACTATGACACTTTAACCCCTCACCTTATTAGATTTGTAGGTTTTAGTTCTTCATCCATTAAAATCAAAGAAAATAACCGTTATTTTATACTAACTATTAACTTTGTTAGTTGAAAGTAGATTTTTGTTAACTAATAATTAATTAATGTCAGTTAATAGAATTAACGAAATATTAAAAAATTAATTCTGTTAATTCTGTTAGTTGAAAGAAAGTTTTTATCAATTAACAATTAACTAATAGAGTTAACAGTCAGTTAATAGAACTAACAAAATGTTATAAAGTGAGGATTATTTTTTTCAATTTTATTAAGTGAGGGGTTAAAAGTGTTACAATATAAGACAGTAGGCTAAAACTTACAAATCTGTTAGGTTGGGGGGTTAAAATATTATATTATAAGGTGAGGGGCTAAAATCTTAAAATTTGATAAGGTGAAGGACTAAAAGCAGGATTTTACCCACCATTGAGCAAGTAATGCGAGCAGACTAAAATGATGATGTCTTCCACACATGCAATTATTCGAAGGAGTTGTGTTTTTTTTGTCTTATTTTCAAAAAATTAAGAGAAAAAAAAAGATAAAAATCACCTTAATGTATATTTTAAAAATATGATAGTTTAGTTTTTTTTAATAAAAATTTATTGAAACACATAGTTTTTGGATGATTTTTCTCTTAATTTTTAAGAGGTAAAGCTGATAGATACTATTTCTTTATTTTAATCTTCTTAACAATAAGTTTTCTTACATGTACTTTTAGATACATATTAAATTTTATTAAATATAATATTT